ACACCAGGTCACATAATGTGATGTAGAAACTGGGGGCACCTGCTGTCGTTGTTTGCTGGATGACGAATTGATCCTTCCATCTGATCAAGCTCCATTTAAAAGGCTGATGGGGATGCGCAGACCCATAGCTGACCAAAACGATGATACTGACTCCCATGTATCGTAGGAGGTGGTCAGAGCCCATCTAAATTGTCGGCCTCTCAGTCCCCCACCATTTCACTTCTCTGCCTCGCTTGTCAGTTCGGTTGCAGCGAACTACAAGATATCGGTTCTTCTTGGCAGCAGCAGTGTTCTTCAGGGGAACATACTAGGGAGCCTTTGAAACAGGGCCTCCTCCCCTTCCCACAATACACAGATAATACACAATACTTATCGAGTCCATCTTAGTGTCAGCTTCAAGTCGTCAGGGCCTGGAGCTGCCTCCCATTTACCTTCCCGGATTGGTCCTTTCACACGGCTGGCATGCGTCCATCCTTTCTCCGCAGTTCGAATAGCCGTTTCTGTGGTAAGCAAAACAACATAGGGGCCTTCCCCATCGTGGTGTTAAAGCAGTCTCTTTCCAAGTCTTAATTAGAATTGAGGGTGATCAAGTGGCAATTCCAAGTCATAGGGTATACCATATAGCATTTCAAAAGGAGAAATTCCTACATCAGTTCTGGGCTGTGTCCATATGTTTAACAGTGCAAGGGGTAAGCATTTTACCCAAGAAGCCTTAGTTTCCAGCACAAGTTTTGTTAGTTGTTTCTTAATTTCACCATTCATTCACTCTTCCTTTCCAGAAGAGGAGGGGTGCCAGGGGCTGTGAAAATCCCACTCAATCTCTAAGGCCTGCTTTGATCCTTGCAGTAAAGCTTTACACCCATTCAGTCACGTGGTCAATTAGGACAAACAAGTAACTCAGTAAAGTCTACCTGGATACTTTGGGAAGGTCAAAGCCCTGGCTCCCGTCCCCCTCTAGATAGGTTACAGAAGGCCTTTTTATTTACCTTTTGACATATAGTAGTACATCCTCTACATGTGTGCTTCCCTAAAGTATATATTCCTACATAGACATGCTTTCTTAGGACAACATCACACATTGCTTGCACCTCCCAATGACTCTTCTGATGTAAAACAGTTAATATTTGCCTCATTATCACTTTATTCAGCATTTCTCTCCCATCAGGGAGTATCGATTTTCCTTAAAATGATCCACATATTTGTAACATTAATACCTCCTTGGGAGGTTGTAATTGCTCCAAAATCTTTTTTAGAATTTACCCAAATAGATAGGTGGCCCTGTAAACCCCTGAGGTAAAATTGTCCACCTATATTGTTGCTTCCGCCCCCATTTCAGGGTCTTTCCAGTCAGAGGTGAATATCCATGTATGTTTGCTCTCAGGGCCAGAGAGCACTGCATTAATAACACTGTTATTCCAGTCTAACAATTTACTAATTGAATGCCCAATTTAATCATCAAATCCCTTCCCAACAAGTTAGTCTCTGCCTTGGATACATACAATAATTGCCCAGTGATCATTTTATCCCCTGGTCTCAGCTTGGTATCCCCCAAAAGTGGCACTGTTATCCCAGTCCCTTCTACCCCCATCACATTTAGGGCTTCATTAGTTAATTTAATCCCTGATACTTTACAAGTAACAGCAGTTGGGAGAGCGAGAAACCCCCCCGCAGACACCAAAGTCAGTGCAGAAGGAGGGGGAGGAGGCACTCCAGGCGCTGGAGCCGAAGCCCCCCTGCTGCCGCTGGAGAGGCCCCTGGTGGAGCAGGCTGTTCCCCCCTCCCCGATGCTTGGGAAACTGAACAAACACCACAGCAAATATGCAAATATACCAAAACTTCTAGACTGTTACTTAGATAATGCCTACATCCCCTTTCCCTGCTCATTCAACTTCGAATACCTTTAACACTTTCAACAAACCTTTTAACACGTCCTTTATCTTTCTCTAGCCTTTACTTTTCTAATGCCGACATCAAAGGCTCAGTCAGGGGCCAACTTAATTCCATACCTTTTCCCTCCAAGATGCTGAAACAACATCAATATACAACATTTCATCCTGTTTTCCTTCTTTCCACAAAAACAACATTGACTGTAATATGGTGTTATAATTAATACTTCCATTTAGGAGCCACTCCGCTCCATCCTCTAGTTTATAAAGTGGCCACCACTGATTACAATATTTAATAAGGGTTCTTTTACTCTCTGTACCCTCTTACCCCACTATATCCCTTCAATGTGTTAGTATACATCCTAGGGGGCTTTTCCTTGGGATTTCTTTGCTTTGAACTTTTCCTATTGTAATCTGCAGTGGTTAATATTCCACCGTTTTCCTAGAAGCTCTTTACTAGTCAATCCCAATCCCTCCAAAATCCACAATATATAGATACACAAGTAAAATCAGACCACTGTAAATTAACTGCCTCTTGACAATTACACTGGGAACATTTAAACCTGATGAGCCAATAATATGCCTGGGCAAATTTTGTTCCCTTAGACATACACCTCAATGGCAGTTCTTATATTTACATATTTACATATTAACATATGTATAAAAGAACACTTTAACAAAAATGCCCGGGCTTTTACATATACAATATGCAATGTACAGTTATTATTCCAGTTAGAATTATTCCTCAGCAGCTGGAAACATTATGCCAGTTGCCATTAAAGCTCGCTTACCCTCCTCCTGTCTTTCTTAAAATCTCGGATGTCCCCGGAGTTAATGGGGACGGCCACATATTCCTAGTCACTGGTCCCTGAGTGCTAGAGTCAGAGTCGCTATCAGAGTCTCCCTGGGGTTGCGGATTAGGAAGCCCAGGAGTCGGAGGGGCTGCAGGTGGTGGTGGTGAAATATAGGGAGACAGTGGGGCTGGGATCTCTAATTCTCGGTTTTTCTTCTGCCTCCCATCCCCTCCTTTTTCTTTTAGAGGATATAAATTGGCTCGAGTTTCCAAGCTGATCCACAAATGTGCATATTCACTTTCTTCCAAACTAAAAGGTTCCTTTGAGTTTACATAAATATTTAGGGCCTGGCAAACCCAATCTTCAAAGGACCCAAATACGGGCCAGTAAAGGTGGTCTCCTCGAATCTGTTTACCACCCCAAACTTCAACACAATAATGTATCATTTTTACTTTATTCCCTTTAAAAAGGGAATATTTTTTACTTTACTTTATTTATTCGTGCACAAAGATTACTAGGGGTTGCCGGCTTTATTTGCTTGCTGCCGAATTTAGGGTTCGTCGGTGAAGGATTTGAATGAAAGTAGTACTAGCGAAGGCCGCTGAAATCAGCGGGGCGCCCCCTCCGAAGGTCTTTCAATCAGATTGCCTTCATCCGAGTCACGGCACCAAATTTGTTATAAGTTGCCCCCTTAATTAATTTTCAGAGAGCATTGCATTAATAAGAGAAAGGAATTTATTGAGTAAGCAACAGCAAGCAAAACAGCGCTGGGCGGCCGGGGAGTCTCGGCTCCGCCAACGGCGCGCGCCTCACCCCCCCCAGGGTCCCTTTTTATATCTTGGTGATTTCAGGATTACGCAGCACATCTTGGTGTACTCTGCGACTGCGCGCACTGTTGCTAGGGGGTCGTCTCTGTCCCTCTGGTGGTCGTGAAGATGAAGGCTGTAGTCTTCCTCGGCGTTGTGGTTCAACTTCTTTCTTTATTTGGTCATGTTGGCCCAGCGTGAGACAGGAAGGCAAGATGTTGATACACTAGTTTAACAACTTATCAGGAGATGGTTACATGAACTTTGCAGCAGTGTTATTTTGAACAAAAGAGGCTACTGAGATGCAGAAGGAGAGAAGGGGAGAGGGTTCTCTTTTTTGTTACATTAAGCAAAGGAATTTTCATAGTGTCTAGCTAAGCATTATACAGCTCCTTACTTCAGCAGGGAGTTTTCACAACTCCCGTTCCTCAAACAGAACTCCTTGTTTTTACAAAAGACAATGAACAAACATTTATTGTGTATTACAGTCTCTACCAGAAATCTATTATATCAGAAAAACAGCATATCAACAGTCAGATGCTTGATTGGTTAGCAGCAGAAATATTCAAGCGGTCTTTGTGCTGTGGTCATGGTGGTGTGTTTTGTTTTTTTTCTCTGATCTAGCAACACAAAACATTCTCTCATGATGGTACCAAGAAGGCATAAAGGTTCTGTTTTTCTAAGAGCTTTAAGAAGAAGGCAGCTTGGACTGCTTAAGGCATAGGAAATACTTGAAATCATTTGTCTCCCCAGATCTCTCTCCTCTTTATTTTTTTATGTATTTGATTGGTTCTTCTGTATCAGAATTCTTATGCTTGTAGTAGCCTGAGTTCTTTGCAAATTGTATGTGGCTGTCCACCATGTGTTTAGATTTGCTTCACTTTATTTTCACTTGAAAATAAATCCTCATTTATTTTCAAATGGTCAAGCCTTCATCTTCCTGTGGTCTTTCTTGGTTTCCTGTTGTATATTGTAGTTACAGCCTGGTGTCAGTGCAGTATTCCTTACTTACCTGTTAGGATGTTCTATAGTTGGTCCCATCTGCTGGATTGAATTAAAAATACTTAGAAGACAATCAACTGCTTTCAGAAATGAGGTTTTCTAAACCCGTCATACACTTGTTGGTTCTTGGTGCTAGTAGGTAGGATGTGATTCATTAAACTGAATGTATTCATGCACAATGGAATTCTCTCCATCCACCATATGTTCCATATATTCCAAATAGAGATGTTCATATTGATTTGCATGCTGAAAGTGCTTTCTTCTTCAATAATTGAATATAGATCTAGATCTGCAGAACATTTTATAAAGACAGGTGAGATGCATCCCAGCAGTATAAACATCTACCAACGGATTTCTGCTTAGGAATCCCTAACTTACCTTTCTTCTACTAGAGGCATCAAATATACGGTAGAACAGATTTCTTGTCCTAGAGTCATTTTTTTGTTGCATATGTGTTTTTTGTTTTTATTTTTGTTTTCCTTCTCAGAATACTATTATGTACTTGATTTTAGAATTGAAGCATGGAGCACAGCAGTTCTTCCCACAAGAGCACCAGAAACAACTGGATCTAGAGATGGAGAGCAAGAGCAATGGTCACAGGTAGTCAGTCCATCATGATGAGACAGTAGATGGTCCCTACTTTAGATAATGGAAGCTTATCCAGAGGACTTACTCCCAGTATCCCTTTCTTCTTAATATCTAATACTGGATAAATACTCAGTCCATCTTTTGGAAGAAGTTGATCTTGACAAGCAAAGCAAGCTGAGACAACAGAGCTCTAGTGTGTAGAAAATCCAAGACTTCACAGGTATGTGCAGCATTGTGTAGTTAGTTAATTAATAAGTAAATAAGTATTTTGTTTATTCCTTTTAAGTGTCTTACATTCTGTGTCTTGTTCTATTTGGTTGGTCGTAGTTGTTAACAGTATTCTTTGCAGATGGGAGATTGGGGAAATGAGAGATGAGTCAGTGAAAATCACACAGGTGCCGGTTGCATGGTACTGATTAAAAAGATGTGTGCCAAAATGAAGCACATGTTAGCAGAGTCACTTGGATCTGAAGTATTGGATAACAAAACTCTGAAAGTGTTTCCAGTGCTATAGGAATGGTTCTGCTTAGATAGTCTGTAAAGTGACAATTTAAAACATGGCTAAATGTTGAAGTATATTATGGTGATGACTATGGAAATACAAAATACTATTGTTGATATTTTAAGTCTTTCAGATGCATTGATTTTTACAAGAATTGGAACAGGCTTTGAATTTTCATCCTGCACAACTGGTCCTGGTTTCAAAGTGTATTTAGGGCAGAAAATTATTTGAACCATTACAGTGTTCAAAAACAGTTTCCCTGTACCTCATAGTTCACTTATCAATAGTGAATAAGTGCTAACACTTTTAACTATACATTTTCCTAAACATCTTAAAGAAATGTGCTTTTATCACCTGAAGATGGATACTTGTTCAGTTGGAAACTAGCCTATGTTTTGTGTAAACTTGGTTTATATGTGCAGCATCATTTTCATTATGCATCATATTGCTAAGAGGCTTCCTTACTCATTGGTCCATCTTCTCACTACTCATTTTTATTGATAACCTATCTCATATTACTGTTTTGTTTTCTGTTATGTAGTGCACTATATTTCGACATAATTATTAGGTGATACTATTGAAAGATAGTAAAAAGGTTTTTGGAGTAAATTTTAAAATATTTTCAGTGGGTTTGAAAACTTGGCTTGTCATATCAAGCAGCTTGTGACAATGTACCATGATTTCAGCTTAGTTCATGCAGATTCCAAGTGATCAAGCTGGTAAGTGGACACATCTTCATAAACTCAGCAAAATTAAAAGTTTTTATTACACCAAATATCTAATATGCATTACAGTGATGTAATTCATTGCTTTGCTGATCAGTCAAGGTTCAGGACTACCCAGTATTCTGACTGCCTCCTGTTTTCTGAGCCTGTCTGGTGCTCTTCTCAGACTTCAGAAAAAGTCTGGGTAACAGAAGTTACTCTAGTGGAACATGACAAATCTTATGAGAATCTGCCGAAAAACAAGGCCCCATTGTATCAAATCATACAGGGTAGTATGTCTCCTACTTTGCATATTACAGGGAACAGCTGCAGTAGAGTGGGCACCTGTATGGCCTTTTTGGTACAGGTGTAGCACTGCTCAAAGGGGGAGTAGGAGTTCCTAGCATTATGGCTTGCTCCTAGCCATAATCATTTATGAAAATTAGGTAACTGATTTTGAATCACTTTAGTACAAACAACTAAGGATAAATGTTGAGGCAGAAAAGCCTGAAATGTAATTTCCATTGTGCTGTGAAGTACAAGTAACATTAAACTTCCAGTGACAAGTTTTTTTGTAATTTAATTAAAAACAAGAATGTTGCCAAGTCTTTGCAACCGATTTCTGCCCATGTGTTGCTTGTATTGAGCATTCTGACTTTCTCCAACACAAAATCCTTCTCTGTGACCAAAAGGTCTAGTGTAACAATAACTTTTCAAAATCCAGTGGGTGAAAATTGATCTACTACATGCAAATGGGGGCTTGCTTGCTAAGTCAGTATGAATATATACAGATTTTAAAAACCCAGAAATACTTCAGAAATACTTTGGTGGGAAAAAAAAAACAAAACACATTAATATCCAAGACCATTCCCTGTCACTTAAGATGAATTCTTGAAAATACATTGTCCCAAAATGGTAGAGGAATCTTTCAAAAGGGGAATGATGGGAAATCACTTTAACATAATGCACTCATTCTTCAGATGCAAAATCTTCTAGCATTTGAATAGAAGTTACACTGTTTTTAGTTAATAGAATAAACATTTTTTATCTTTAAAATAGCTGATTTTTGAAAGGTGACACGTCAAAGAGGTCCATGTCCATTGAGAAAAGTAGGATCTTTGATTTTTTTTTTCGAATATAGCTCTCACTTAGCAAACCCTGAATTAATCAGACTGAAATGGTACTTGATTACTGCAGTATTGTGGCAGAATTGTATTTACATAGGGGAAAGAAGGTGTTCTTACACTGACCTGTCAATACTGCTGTAATTATCATGTATTTCTGTAGTACTTGATTGTCAAGCTTGAGACCTAAGTTATCAATTGGTCATGGAGTGCTGAAGCAACTGGATAGATTTTTAGCCTGTGTGTAGCTGAAAAGGTAAAAAAGGGAGTACCACTTGAGGCTGTTAAGCAGTCTGTAGTCAGCACCTAAATATTTGGAAATAATCTTGATGCACACTTTCAGATTGAATCAGGTTTGCAACCGTGGAGAAAATATTAACGTATTTGCACCAGTACACATTTTGTATGGCAACACTGATGATTTTCCTGATGAAAAACAGCTTTTCTTAATTATCCAATTGCCTTTTTCCAGTAAGAAAGTTCTGAAGCATTGACTATTCACTTTTTTACTTATATTTTAGGTAGGTTTAGGTTGCATTAATTTCCTTTTAGCATTGAGTCAATGGAAGAATAAACATGTTTATTTTCATATGAATGAACAACATGAATTATGGATTTGCATAACAGAACAATATGAATTATACATAATATATGAAGAGTTTTTGTTTTCAAGAATAAATTTTATTGAAAGCCAAAAAGCCTGCAGTCTGGCTTTTTGTGGTAAGAATGTGTGACCTCAGTATGTTGTATGATATAAATACTTAAGGTTCATTATTTGTATTTTTTCTTTAGAGTACAGCAAACCATTCCGGAATGGTTTTCATGCTCCAACTACAGAGGCAAATTGAAATAGCATGGATGGTGGATAGAAAGTAGCAGGCTATTCTGGTGCCCTGGTGTAGTGTTGACAGGTTGATACATCCATTTTGGTGGAAATGCTTTTGTTGTAATGCCCACTATGAAACTTTCTGTAATAAAACCAAGTGGCTTTTAGACTTCTCACATTGCATTTTATTTCTTAAATACAAAGACATGCACATACATTTTCCTTTGTCTACCTCTTTGCAAGAAACTTCCTCCCATGCTGAAAGACCAGCCTATGTAGCCAGGAGATGTGCTGTAGGAGGCATACACATCTCATCTGGCTCCCCATTATGGTTTTATCTCTTCTTTTTGGAAATACTGGTTTCTTGTGAGCTAATAGCTTAATTGTGCAATAAGAGGCCTGACTCTGGAGAAAACATAGATAACTGGGATGCTATTCCCTTGTATTGAGACAAAGATGGAAGTTTTCATTTATGTTCCTGGTGGTACTGATGTTTGTGATCTGTAGTAGTTTCAGATACCCACTAACATGCTGGTAAGCTGTGTAAGGCCGAATTTAGTTGGCTGTTGCTTTCTGGCAACACCTTTGGTCCCTTATTGGCTTTGAAATCTTGCATACATACTTCTGTGGCAGAGCTGCCTTTTTAATTGCAATACCAGCTTTCAAAAAAAAAAAAGTCTGTTGGGTAGTCATACCATTCAACTATCAAAATTTTAAATGTATGACTTTAATTGCAAATGCTTTGTTAGCCATTCACATGGCTATTTTTCTGAACCGATGGTGTTATACGGCTGCAATTGAGACAGCACTTTATTATTAACTTGTTTCAAGTTCGTTGAGCTGATATCCCCACAGGTCTCCTCTTAAGTGCACCAGTTTGTTTTGTGTTGCAGACATTTAGCAGTTGGTCAGAGATCTTTAGAAATCTGTGTGTTGCCATCACATAAGCTGCTGTTTTGATTCTTCTCATAGCTTGTTGGGTTATAAACACTAACAGTCATATTTGTCTTCATTCCTATACAGTTTTCCTTTCTGCTTACTTAATAAACAATGCTCTCTGGATTTCTTTATGGCTTGCTTCATCCAATTGAAGATCACAGATATTTTTCTAGTAGATAAACAGATCCATTTACACTTTGATATATTGATTCAAAGATCGAAGCCGAAATTCCTTTAAGTGGTATATTCTTTATTGCAGCGCTGGATGCACGGGGGATCTCTCCACCTATCGTGCATACCCAAAGCGGAAAGCAGTCTTGAATTTATACAATCAATCTATCAATATTCTACAAGCGCCTATACATATGCATTACCTATCCCTGCCTTCCCTCGCTTCTCATGCTAATTAGCCTTTTGGCACCTTGCGCCTGCGTAGAGCCTCCCAAGAATTGTGGGCAGGGGTCTTTGGGACGTGGGCAGGGGTCTTTGGGAAGAAGACCCCGAGTCTTCCTCACAGTGTACTTTTCACCTTTGGTCAGGAATCTGCTGAATTGGCACGTTTCTTAATTGCGAGAGCTGGTTGTTGCCAATTCTTCCGTTTGTTGTATCTTTATAATGAATTCCAATGTCCAATTTTGAGATGTATAGTCCTTACATTTGTTTCTCTGTCTGTCTGCCGCTTCCTTATCATGAGTTCCAGTGTCTTGTTTCGAGATATACAGTCCATGTCTGGGGATTGTCCTTGCCTCCCCAATACCTCCCCAATACCTCCTTAATCAATATATCAGTGATTCTTAGATGTGTGCTTTTTGCAACTTTTACCTTTATAAATTATCAAGTGACTGCCCTACAAAGAAGCAAACTGTGATGTTTAAATTCTGATTGCTGCCTCCTGACTTCCCTGAAAAAATTACTACTTCTTCAGGTGAACTTTGGTCTCATCTCTGTGCACAGTTGGATGTAGTTTTCATTTGAAGAGTTCCTTTGTGACAAGGTTTATGACATTAGAATGCAGTTCCAGTGCAGATGCTTAACTTGGTTATGTGAACCTTTCCACGAAGGATTAAGTAGAACTTGGTCATGGTGCAATATCAAGCTGGAAGCCTGATTAACTGGGAAATGTTT